AGTGAATTCCTGGCAACAAATAATGAGCTAAAACTGCTACTGAGCATAAAGAAGACACAGAAAGCCCCAAAACAATCTGCAGCACAATAAATACAGAATTATAACTCCACAGTTATTTGTGATATTGCTAATTACTTTGATAACAGTTATTCTGCTCGAATACTTTGAAGAGAATATCTGGAGGCAGTTTTATCTTTATGGCACATTTTGCCTTCTTTCAGGTCAAACATAGCCCATTTTCTGTGATTCACACCCCCACCCCGCCTCCTCCTCCTTGTTTAGAGATCAGCACATCATCCCGCCGCTCTCATTTATTTGTTTGTTTGCCGGTTAGGTTTGTTTATTACTGTATTTTCAAAGCACGGGACAAGGTTAGATTTGCTGTTTGGGCATATTTTCTCCTGTGATAGCATGTTTGAATTTGTCTACTCAGCATGCGACGTGTCAGAGTGTGTGTGTGTGTGTGTGTGTGTGTGTGTGTGTGTGTGTGTGTGTGTGTGTGTGGAGCTGGTGGGGAGGCAGGGCATGTGCTCAGGGGTCGCAGCAGCAGTACGGCGCCACCGGTGCCAAATTGCTTTCCTGGGTGCGTCAGGCAGGGGGGGGGGTGGACCAGCTCGGGACGGTACGGTGGCCCCCTGGTTCTCCCGCTCTGAGGGGGGCTCCTGGCCCCGGGTCACTAACTCAATCACCAGATCAGGAGTAATAATTATTAATACCCCGTGAGCGTTAACAGCACGCGGGTGATTTATCAAAAATGTCGATTACATTTTGCGCAGGGTGACAACTTTTTGAAGCCGAACCCGTCCCAGGGGAGCGGGCCTAACTGGAGCGCGAGAACACCTCCACTGTATGGAGCCGCGTGGGTTTCTGCTAAATGAGAAGGTCTGAATGGCACCAGGCCCCAACTCTTCAAAATAAAAGCATCAATTGCTTCCACCTTCTGCTGTTAAATGAGAATGTACAGTTTTGATCATCTGAATAAAAGCTGAGTGAGAACAACATCATCCATGGCCGGACTAACCAGCTAGAGGAACCTGGGGCAAAAATCTGCTGTTGGGCCCCGATTGACCACTAGGGGCAGATCTAAAGGTGGTGGTGGCGGCCATCTTTAAAAAGTGCCCAGTTTGGTGTCAGATGCTGTCAAATTTAACAAATTTAGATACATTTTTTAAATAATGTGTTAAAAGACATAAATTAACATCTAATTTATTGATCTGTTATGGCCTCATTTTAGAATCAGTGAGAAGTTCAATGAAAAAAGACTTTTATTTGGAAAAATGTCTTTAGAATTAGACATAAAACAATTATTTACATATTATTATTTATTAATGTGCCACAATGATGTTTTTCCATTCAAATATCTTCATTCGGCAAAAAATATTATGTATTATGTGTTTGTGATTAATCAGTAGATATTTCTGCCACCATCTGGACAACCCATGAATATTCCTCTAGATCCGCCCCTGCTGACCACCTCTAACTCCGTCTGTGCATGTAGTGCGAGTAGTCCAATTAGAGCAGACCCGTTTCAGCTGTGATGCCCAGATTTACATCTGGCGGTCAGCAAAACTCTGATTTTACTGTCTATACCGTCTATGTAATCCCTGAGGTTTCTCTTTTTTATTCAAGCCCACATGGAAAACGGTGACAGTGGCGGCCAAAACGGTGGTCCAGAGTCCAACTTGTGGAGAGTGACAGGCGGGCATCAATCCTATAAACCTCTATCTTATTACTACTACTCTCAGTGCTCTCAATCTCTCAGTATCTTTACAAATTACACCTGCAGACTGCAGACTACTAGCTGGACAGTATGAGGTTTTTACGGTACGATAATCATCTCAGAAAATATCAATATTATCATCAGTTACAACGACCCCTAAACGAATGAAAACAGATTCCTTTCAGATCTGCAGGGCAGCATTATGTGACTTTCTCTGGATAAAGGTAAAGAACGTTAGTTGCAGTGGACCCTAATAGACTGGAACCAGAATCAACTGACAGTGTAATAAAGTGGCTGTACGTATAATGTACTGACTGACTCTTTAAACACACCTCATTATTTACCCAGAAACAAACCAATACGTCTGTGCTGCAATGCTTTACCACTGGTTTCTGGTCTGTGTGTCCGTCAGTGTGCAGTGATTTGATTAAACACAACTGGCCTATATTTAAGAACACGCATCACGTGAGCACAATGTAACTTTATTATTATAGTTATTATAGAACAGATTCCAGGGCCACGACAGAGGTAATAATATGAGACCTGACTTGGAACAAATTCCCTAATTGTCACAAAGTGGAGCTGAGCTTTTTGGGGTTCCCATGAGTTCCTGGGTCCAGGGGCCTGCTTTACCCGGTCGGTGACACCTTGACGACAACAACAACAACAACAACAACAACAACAACAACAACAACAACAACAACAACAACAACAACAACAACAACAACAACAACAACAGGTAAAGGAGGTGGAGGCTGTGGTTGTTATCAGTCTTATTAAAAGGATGTGAATTTATCAGCTGCTTCCACACTGTTTGTCTGGACTGTCTGTTTATGGTGTGTGTGTGTGTGTGTGTGTGTGTGTGTGTGAGGTGGGTATACTGTAGGTAAGCTGAGCCGAAGAGACGCTGACTGTGTTGAATCTCGGCAGCAGCAGCTCTAGACGCCAGAGACACACTGCACCTCTCTCTATCTCCCTCTCTCTCTCTGTATGTTATCCTCCCTCTCTCTTTCTCTCTCTCTGTCTCTCTCTCTCCATCCCTCTCACTGCTTCACTTGTTTTGTTTCTCAGATGCAGCTCGGATGGACTCTGCCCTGATTTATGGAAAGAAAAGCCTCACAGTGTAGTCATGGCGATCTCTCTCTCTCTCTCTCTCTCTGTCACACACACACATAAACACACACACACACAGTACATGCCTGTTCCCCTCATTCAGCTGCAAACCATCTCAATCTGTGTGTGTGTGTGTGTGTGTGTACAAGCACACACACACATTCTCTCTCTGACTCTCAGTGAGCTGATGGCTGTCACACTGCTCAACGTTTCCTCTGAGTCAGCAAAAACAGGAAGAGGAGGAGAGTGATGGAGAGGCTGAAAGAGGGGAGAGAAAGAAAGGGATATTAAGAGAAAATTAAAATTTGAACTGAGGTGAGAGCTGTGTGTTTTTTCCCCCCCAAAAGATTTCATCACTCAGTAATTGAATCAGTTATTTTAGGTTGGTGAACAGAAACATACAGACGGATAGTGACAGCACGCGGTGAGAGGATGTGTGTTCATGTCCTGTGTTGCTATGGACAGCACAACAACAAATCTACACACGTATGCAGAGGTCCGTTATATACAGGTATAAAAGGAAGAGCTGAACGGAAGTGACAAAATGTGTGTTTAAAATGAAATGTTACAAGGATGGAAGATGGAAAATTTAAATAATCAATAATTAGAAAAAGGAAAAGAACTAAAATACATGTGTTTGTTTCTTTCACTCACACATACACAATCACTCTTTAAACAAATAAAACTATTAAATGTGCCAGTTGTGTGGTTTCTATACTGAGCTCATCTCACAGCCTGCAAGAAGAAACACTCATTTTTATATTTGAACTCTACACATTTCTGTAACTGCCGTCCTGCTGGGAAAATAAAGGACTTTAAAGTTGACTCAACTTTACACACAGCTGCAAACACACACACACACACACACACACACACACACACACACACACACACACACACACACACACACACACACACACACACACACACACACACACGGTGAGTTATGATATGTGTTTGAAGTGAGCCGCCACCCACCGAACCTGACGGCGGTGTCACATCAGCACCAAGGCGGGGAGGCATCTGTCTCAACCCGGGCCGCTTCCACCCTGAGAGGAGGAGGAGGAGGAGGAGGAGAGACCACTTAATGCAGCCTAGGGCGCGTGCAGGAGCGCGCGCACACAGTGGACATTATGTGAAGCTGCCCTATGGACGTCAAACACCCAAACATACAGCGAGTGAGGAAGAGTTCAGTGAGTGAGGAAGAGTTCGGCTCGTCGTTGTTCGGCGGAGGCGGAGAGCAGGCCGGCTTCGCCCATCCATCACCGGCTGATGGGCGCACTGAGGCCCGCTGACAGTCGGCCGAAGCCGGGGCGGCGGAGCTGAGGAGGAGGGTGGCTGTGTCCGCCTCCCACACACACACACACACACACACACACACACACACACATTTACACAGACTAGAAATCTGGTGTGATGTTCACGGACATCAGAGCAGCGTCCACACCGGATGAGTCCGGTACAAAAAGCAAATCCACAAACTGCCCTTTAACTTCTGAGCCGCGCGCTCCTCGGTTAGATATCAGAGAATAAAAAACCCAAATTAAATTAAAAAGCGCCAATTAAGGCTCAAATAAAGTATTTAAAATATTTTAATTTTTTTTTTTGCGCTGCCTTTAATAAAAATAACAACAATAATAATAATACTACTAATAACAATAATAATTATAGTACTAACAATAATAGAGATTCAATGTGATTTTTGACACTCTCGTACTGTCTTTACTGCTCATTATATAATACCAATTATCGTTAATAAATCAAATTAATTGGACACATTTATGAGTTTATTATATTATAACACTTTATACATATTTTTATTTTATAAAACGTAAAAACTCTAACTGCTTCCTCCTTTAGATTTTCTTCTTTCTTTCACAAATATGAACATCATTATTTTCTGGCTCTATTAGAATCAATCTTTTGGGAATATTATGGATTTAAATCTATTTAACGGGCTTCTGTTTTTTATTCCCTGCATTCGTTCAGCAGCGAGGAGACTCAGCTGGCCTAAAATAAGAAGCAACATCCCAATGTATGACATTCTTACATAAAACCAAAAGCTTCAATTATTGAGGAGCAGGAAGCCTTTTTTGTTTGTTAGTTAGTTATTTTCAGAATAAAAGCGGTGTTCCTGTAGCAATGAGGGCGGCAGCAGTCCGACAGGTTTTGGGACAGAACTTTTTATTAAACATTATGAAAACAAGATTCTCAACAACGTTCCACTTTGTAGGTTTTTCACTTGTTGACACGTTAATTGAATAAATATAGAAATTATATGTACAGATATACATTTACAGCACTGTGCAGAAGTTGGCTTTTCCTTTTTTATCTCCCCCCTTTCTCCCCCACCGCAGACTCCTTTCACATCGAATTAGGATTTATTTTTTTAGACTGCACTTGCTGCAGGAAAAATGACGAAAATTTGAGGTTTTATTAACCCCCCCCTCCAAAAAATAAATCGAATTTAAACAAAGAAAGTTACTGAAGGGAAATTGTTTGCAGAGATTCATTTCCAATATTCCTTTTTCTGTTCTTTTGGCTGAAAAGGTCGCACATTTTTTTGGGAGCATTCAAATAAAAATAACATTTATTTTCGCATGTATTTGTTATTTTTCTGAGGCGGTTTGATCCGAATCCAGCCTCTCTTCCTGCAACTCCTCGCCCCCCCTCCCCTCCCCACCACCCCCCAACAGGTAGGCTCAGCATCGGGACACTTCTGCACAATATTGCACATATATCTAGGCAGCAGAAAACACACGAACCAGGGATTTCTTGTTGACAGAATAATGCATCGAGTTACTCCAAGAACAGTAAGCTCTCTACCAGCGGCCAAAGTCTTCCTCTTTTCAAACAATCAAAGCATCCTCCTATCAGACACAAGACCTCATTAAGACACCGGGCTGCAGAATAAACCCGCAGGCCCTAGAAAATTTCGTCTACAAATATTCAAAGTAAAAAACCAAAAAAAGGAAAAATAAACCCATTAAACTAAATCATTTTAATCATCAGGTTGGTGCATAGAGTTTTAGCAGCGAATGCAGTCCTTGTCCATCTAATGAATGAGGCTTCCACCCCCCATCTAATTTACATCCAGGTTCTCAGAGAGTAACAGATCAAAGGTCCTATTAGTAGAAAACAAAACGTTTGTCCAGTTTGATCTCTTCTTAGTGCAGTATAGGCTCGCCTTTGACATTACACATGTTCAGTTAGGAGGAGGATACCATAGACGATTTGCATGCTGTAACATACAAACATTTGTATTAAGACATGTCGAATAATCCAAGCAACAAAAGCAGTTTTTCTTTAAAAAGAGAGAAGGTAAAATAACACAGTTAACTGTTTTTCTCTACACATTATGTACAGGTGGAAATAAATACAGTCTAAAATCTGGCTCAGTTAATCTCTTTTTGTCGTTTTTCTTTTCCTTTTAAAACAATAGAAAAATTGATTGAAAATAGCAGTTAAAGACGCATCCATGTTTCGCAGTATAGCAGATTGTTGCATTTTTGTCCGCAGTCCTTGCACCTCTCTTTATGTTGGGGGTGGGTGGAGGAGAAGGGGAGGAGGGTGGGAGAACATTTTTGTGGCTTTTTGCAAACCCAGGCCTTTACTGATGGCAGAGGAGGATGGAGAGAGAGGAGGAGGAGGAGGAGAAGCGTTAGAGGAGGAGAGAACCATGGGCCATGCTTTCCATACATGTGGAAGGATTCTGGGAAGATGACTGGAGGTTACCATACATGTCCTGCATGCAGGGTTGCAAATAGGGATGGGAAACTATAGACTTGCAATATTGAAAGGTCTCTTCTCTGCATCCCGGACCGCCTCACTCTCTCACACACAGTCTGTAGAGCTTTCTGGAGCCATGAGAGAGGCGGCGTATTGCTTCTGTTTCAGTCACTCCCCCCCCCCCAGGTTTAAGACAAAATCACCTCTGAATTAAGACAGTGAACGTTAACTGTGAGATTGGTTCAATAAGACCTCTGAGCAACCACAGAGAAGTCTCCAGGCTAAGTGATCCCATGTGCTCAGCTGACAGGTCGCAGTGAGCTTACAGAAGTTTAGCCGAAACATCTTTAAGACTCAAAAAGCGCATCTAATGTTTGTTTGTTTACTTGTCTTTCTGTCGAGGGAATAACTGTAAACAAAACACAAACGCAGAAAAATATAAATTAATGTAACAAGGATGTTTAGGTGGGGGTGGGGGGGTGTAACTCAGAGTCTATGCTACAGTCAGTCTCTCACATGAAGAACTCGGTGTTGGCCTGTTTCCCGGACGGATCTCTCGTGTTCGCGGGTCCGCCGGCATTGTAGGTCCGGCTGGCCAGCTTCTCGTACTTCTCCTTGTAAAGATCCCTCTCCTTGGCGAGGCGCGCCACGTCCTGCTTCAGCTGCTCCACCTGGCTCTGCAGGGTGCACTTCTCGGTCTCCAGCATGTGCCTCTGCTGCACGCGTTTGAAGCGGCAGGACTGCGCGTAGCCGCGGTTCTTCAGGGTGCGTCTCTTCTGCTTCAGGCGGATCACCTCCTCCTTGCTGAAGCCCCGCAGCTGCCGGTTCAGCTCCCGCACCGTCATGCTGACCAGCTGCTCGTCCGAGAAGCGGTCCTCCAGGCGGGCGTGGTGGCCGTGGTGGTGGTGATGGTGGTGGTGATGGCCCTGGTGATGGTGGCCCGCCGAGGCCGTGGACAGGTCCTCCCCGACGTACTGCTGCCCGCGGAAGCCCTCGTAGGCCTGGTGGTGGTGGTGATGGTGGTGCGCGTTACCGATGAGGGCCTCCACCGCGTCCTCCGGGGTCAGGTTGAGCGCCTCGGGGTTGATGTGGTGCTGGTAGCTGGGGATCCAGTACAGGTCCTCCAGCTGAGGCTTGCCCGCGTTGCTGTGATTGTTGTTGCCGCTGCTGTTGTTGCTGCTGCCGCTGCTGTTGACCCCGCTGGTGAGGCTCTGGTTGGGCTGCGCGCCCGGGCTCGGGGCGCAGAAGCTCGGCGAGGAAGGCACGGAGGAGCAGGGTGTGCTGATCGGGGTGGAGGACAGAGAGCCCGACGGGAGGCGGTGGCAGTAGCGGTCGGCCTCCGGCGGCTCCTTCTTCACCTCAAACTTCATCAGGTCAAAGTCGTTGACGTACTCGATGGCCAGAGGGCTGTTGGGCAGCTCTGCGCTCATGGCGAGGTCGGTGGCCATTTCAGTCCATGCGACGACTCCTGCCCTCACAGCCAAACCGACGGCGGGCAGCCCTCTCGGATACAGATTGCGGAGAGGAATAAAAGCCTGTGTGGTGTATATATAGACACACGCACACGCCCGGTGCGTGGGGCTGCTGCAGGGCCGGCGGGTGGGTGGAGAAACTTTTTAAGGCTGCTCGTCCCTAAGACAACTTCTATATATAGTGGCGTGAATATACGTATGCATGTAAATGAACTTGTACACCTGCCAGTTCGCCTCCGCTCGCTGCTCTTGTTGACAACTTATCCCAGGTCAAATGCACGCTTTAATACCAGGAGCCCCCGGGGCGGCTGAAACTCGAGCCCGGTGAATTTGGAGACACCAACCTGTCTTGTCCTCGCTTCACCTCTGCAGCCTACTTGCCTCCTTGTGATTTACTGTCCCCTCGGTTCTGCTCGATCAAGTAACACGAAAAGGTTTCGTCTCCTCCTCTCGGTGCGTTATAAATATTTTCCAAGCATCCTTCTTCGCCTCCCGCTGTTTACAACTTGATCATGAAGTCCCAGGCAGCGGGCTGGAGTCACTGCAGCATGGCCCGGATACAAAGTTTCTCACACAATCAGCTCGGACGGTGTGTGACAGTCACAGGGCGGACGCGCAGGCGTGCGTAAAAGTGTGCCAAAAAGGTCCCCGGGAATCCAAAATGGAATGGCACGTGCAGAAGTTTTGAAAGTTCAGATGCATCAGAGGTTAGTCTGGAGCTGCAGGTAGTGCTCCTGCTGGGAGGGACAGGAGAGTCTGGTCCCCTGGTGTTGTGGTCAGTCCAGATATTTGATGCAAGCAGCGGATTACTGACAGCTTCGGTCCCCACGGTCCTGTCCCCCCTCACCGGGGCGCGCTGCTGACCTTACGTGTTGACTGTGTGTGTATTATTATGCAAGAGGTGATCAATTCCAGTTGCTTTTCTCTCTAAAGGCCCTCTAACTGTTTCTAAGAGCTCCACGGTGCAACCACGCAGTGTCACTGAGGCGCTGGAAGGCAATCCGCTCTTATAAAGACAGCGTGCCTCCCCCCCACCACCCCGACCCTCCCACACAGAGGTGTGACGGGCCAATGGGAGGAGATCACAGCAGTGCATTTGCATTCTCCCACAGCAGAGCCCTCCACTCCGGCCGAGCGGAGCCGAGCGCAGCCGGAAGCGAGCGAAGCGCGCAGGGAGAACAGGTGCAGCAGATCCCCCCCTCTAGTGACCGAGCAGGTGCTACTGCACGGCGGAGCGGAGTAAGACGAGAGCTCCGCTGGTTTCCCAGAGAAAAAAATGTTTACTCGGAACAGAGGAACAGTTTTCACCGTTTCCAAACTGTGTGTCAGTTCTGTAATCAGGCTGTCAGGCTGCGGCTGGATTTCACATGGGATTAAAATATCTTCCAGGTTGTTAATTTACACATTTATCACCTTATAGGGACTTAAAGGAGAATATAGTTTAGACTCTTAGAGACTTTGTAATGATCTTCTGCATCATGAAGACATTTTAATCTTTTCTGAAATGAGTTTTTAAACTTTTAATCGCCACAATATTCAAACGAACTTTTCTGTCTTTGCAACTCATTTAATATTTCATTTCTGCAATAAAGCAGCCGGTTACAGAAACACACAGTGTTCTTTATGCAGTAATGTTTGCTGATATTTTGTGACCAACCACTGCAATCAAATTTACACCTTTGGCCCCTAAAAAAAGAACAATTGAGGTTAAACTGAAGTTATTTATCCAAATCTGCTGAAGAATAAAATGAATATGACTGGTAGCTGTCAGTGTGCTTCCACACAGTGAGAGGAACACATGTAGAGGAGGAAACCCAGATAATACAGGATAAAGTTATAGCAAATTAATACAATTATACTTTTAGACTTAAATATGTATAAAAATGAGAGAAAGAGCAGTATAAAGTCTTTTACTGTATACAAACTGTAACTCTCAGAAATAAGCCAAATTAAAAACAGCTTATAGTATCTGCTTTACTCTCAGAGGAAGCCCGAGGAGGCTTCTGACACCACAAACTACCAATCTATCAATACTGATCGATGGAAGGCCGCGCGCCCCCTCCGCCACAAAAATCAATGCGCATTTCCGCGAGGCTGCGAGGAGGCCGCGTGTGGCTGCGCGCGGGTTAAGTATGATTGGATAGTCCCGGCGGTGGTCTGCAGGGTTTTCATTCGCAATTAACCACAAATTGCATCCCGTCTCATCTCCGCGGATCGACGGATAATTAAGCCCCGCCGCGTGGCTCTCCATCCTGGACGCATATGTCTCTTTTTCCTGCAGGGAGAGGCTTTCAGAGGGGGGGGTAAAGGAAATCAGGACGGTTGAGCAGGATGTCGATAGTATCATGTGAGCAGGACTGTGAGCAGGGACACCGCCTCACCTGACCCGTTTAGCCCTTTCAGCAGCGGCAGCCCCCCCAGAGTCCCATCCAGCCCCCGATATGTGAGTGATATATGTGCGGGATAAAGTGCCTATCTGCGGGATAAAGTGCCTATCTGCGGGAAAAACAGGTGGCAGTAAGTTTAACTTGGTCAGATGTGAACGGAAAACCTTGCGCAGCTGCTGAGCTTAACTTCCAGTCCGAAATGGCCATGAAATACGCCCCCCCCACCTTCCCTCAAATCTGCTGGCGAGGATGAAAAGAAGAGTATGAGATGAAGGGACGGAAATCATATCAAGGTATTTTAAGTTTAGGTGCGCTAAGTCATTAGGAGAGGGTTTTTTTTTTTATCAAATAAGCAGGAGCTGGCCCTCAAACGCAAAGCTAAGCAGTCCGCATTGAAATGGCACACTTAAGAAGATCTGCTGTGGTCCATTCATTGTCAGGGGAAGGGGAGTGTCTGCGGCCGAGGGCTTGAGACATAAATTTTTGAAGTCAGGGTTTTCATTGTGCCTTTGCATATTGGGACTTCGCTGCAAGTGCAGTTCTTCCGATTTAAGCAAAACGGACATCAGCAAGGTGGAGGATCGACGGCGGGCTTTTGAGCCGGCCGCCAGGCGAGCTTTGAGCCAAGGTAGCCAGCATCCAGACCAAAGAGAGCGGCTCCAGGAGGTGGCTCAGGGTTATCTGAGGCCTGGAGGTTTTTGTCACCGCCGTTAAGCCACTAATGCTGCTGTGGAGGAATCAGCTTTAATTGTGTGGGGATGTGACACGCACGCATGTGCGCGGACGCTGAAGTTAACAGGGAGGCTTACTTTAGAAATCAGGAGTTTCACCACATGTAGGAGGCCCCGCTTGTATAGAAATCATGTTTGTTCACCAGAGTGATAAAAAGGTTTTTGGTCTCGAAGCAGCAGTCGTTTTGACTACCACTTCTTACGGTGGGACTCACCCAAGTCATTGCTGAGGTCTGGGAACAGGGTGACATTGCGAACAGTATGTGCAACCGTCAAAGACTGGACAAACCCAACATGATGATTCCAGCAACATACACAGATTTTTGTCTTGACTGTCCGAGAGGAACACACAGCCGAGTACATAGAGACAACACACTGGGCGGTTCGTAGGCGATGACTACTGAAACACAAGAGCTCATTCATTAAAACGAGCCTCTCATTTATACTGCAGTCAACCCAGAACGGGGAGAGAAATATGTTAAGATGCAGAGTGAGGTGGACTTCAGCTGACTGTGGCTCTGTGTTATAAATGAATACTCTTTTATCTGTGGTAGGGATGCACTACCGATACCAGCATCGGGTCCCATACCTACGTAGCTCATGTACTGTCGATACCACTGTACAGCAGCCTAACCTTAGTTGAGCAGGTAGGTGGAGGAGAAGCAATGTCAGCAGTTCGGAGGTATTTTAAGCAGCTTTTACAACATTAACAAGATTTAGTTTCTCACAGTCAGAAAGTGAGGAACATCTGATGAACATAAAACATGTTTTCATCAGAACTGTAACGATATTATTAAGTACTCAGTATCAGCAAATACCCCAAAGTAAGTGCTTGTTATTATTTGGTCCAAAAGGTGGTATAGGTGCATCCCTACTCTGTGGTGATCAGGAGGTTCTGGACAAAATCGTGGTGGGCCGCTACTGTTCCGGGTGTGAGTTAATCTGCCTGTGGACTGAGCTGAGAGAACTTCTACCCACAGTTTCTGCAGGTTTCAGGTTAAATTTAAGACTTTTTAAGACCATTAAAGCAATTTAAGACCTATTTTTACGTCCATACCGTTAAAAACGTACAAAGGATAAAAAGGAAAAGCGGTTTTGACTCCATGTTTCTTTCATTTTGTAGTTGTTGGTTGTTTGTCAGGATTGTCTTGACGTTGCAACCAACCAGAGACCAATTACAAGTTACAGTGATTTTTTTAGAAAAGTTTCTTTTAGTTGTCTTTCACTTATCAGTCGATTGTGTCTAGTACAGGATGGTTTAATTGTCTGCAGTCTTAACTGCCCAATTTCTCCCAGAGGGCCGCTGTTCTTTAACTCCAGAGCTTAAAGCGAGTCCCACTCTGCCCCTGATCAGAAGACAACTGGAATCCTTCTACACTGTATGAGTTTAGCTCCCGACGGTCAACACCAACTGACCCAGACTGAAACAACTTGGTCAGATCAGTCGTAACTATTATCAGCCCATCACTCAGAAGGTGTGTGAGCAGTCAGACAGGTTGTGAACGAACAGTACAGTCAGATCATCTAAACCACTTTAATGGAGGTCGAACTGAAGGTGAAATCCTAATAATCCCTCATTGCAAAGACAAACTGTGTGCATACATTAGGACTGCAGCTAACCATTATTTTCATTATCGATTAATCCATCAGTTGTTTGGTCCATAAAATGGTGAAAAAGGGCAATCATTGTTGATGAAAACCCAAGCTGACTGACATTCTCCACAACCCCAAAGATATTCAGTTTACTGTCATAGAGGACGAAAGAAACCGCTAAATATTGGACATTTGTTCTAAAAAGTAAAAAGAATGACTGCCTGTAAATGGGACCGGGCTTTGAACTGAAGTTTTACAATATGTGATCTGTGGTGACCTGTTTGTCTTTTCCAAACAACCTTCCCCACTGATGATTAGTAAAGTCAGTCTATGAAAATAAGGTCCAACTGGTAATAAACTGGAAGATCCCTCAAAGGAAGTAAAGCTCAAGAGGAGAAACCTCGTACAACACATGTACCACGAACACACGCAATCCAGGTCTTATTAACTCTCCAACACACAGTGAAGAATCACAGTTGACCTTTCTTTTTGTCTGTGCGAGTCTCCGCGGACAGATGATTTCTCTCCCTCCGTCTTCTCTCCGTCTCGTGCGCTTTTACTAAAAATTGAAATATTGATCTTAATTAGAGTTTGCCGAGCTCAGCAGCTCGCGTTGAGGGTTTTAGACAAGAGGCAGCAGACATCTGTCTAAGGCACTTACGTCTTCAGCGCAGGAGAGGAGCGACGTGGGTGAGGAGGAGGAGGAGGAAGGGGAAAAAAAACGTGTGGTGAGAAGAGAAGAGTGATGGCTCCCTGTCTCCTGCCTTTTCTGAGAAACATGTCGAGCTCTCCGTCTCCGCTCGCCGCTGTCAATACATCTGAGAGAAAATCGAGCCAAACACACACACGCACACACACAATTCAAATATCTCCATCCTCACAAAAAGTATTCAACACCGTGTCACTGGCAGCATGTGACCATCTGTACATGAACTCAAGTTTTCCAAGTTCCAATCATCAACTGACTGATCTCTCCTTCGCCTGAGGTCGGGTTCACAGTAACGCCGATACATTTAGAAACGCACACACAAGCTGTTTTAATATTCAAAGTGAGCTCTGCTAAAAGCTAGAGAGACTGGAGACTCCCTAAAGTCCCATACAGCAGTGGGAATAAGGAAAACTAAGATTTTCTGGGAAAAAATGTGACTGTTTAGCCGAGTACTGACACTGTAGAACCTCTGTGATCTCATCCTGTATCACTACAGCTGATCCTGTTAGCAAGGCGTAGCCACAGACGAACAGTGTCATTAAAGGAAGAGTTGAACATTTCGGGGAAATACATTTAGTACAGAGGACGTGAGGACAAAGGTGAGGAAACACGCTCAACAAATAAATAAAATAAAGCTCAAAAATGAACTCTACACAAACAGAAATGTGAATGTTTTAGGGGAGCTAAGTGGTGGAACTATTTCTTGAGGTTGCCAGGTTTGGTGCCATGGTGCCTGTACGGAGACTGTATCTGGCAACAATAGTAGACGAACTGCTCATCAAGAAATAGTTCCTGTTAATGAGTTAGCTCAGCTGGTAGAGCATGTGCTCCACGTATCAAAGCTCAGTCCTGACCGCAGTGGCCCGGGTTCGATTCCAGCCGGTGGCCTTTTGCTGCCATCCCTCCCTTTCCTGTCATATCTTCAGCTGTCGCTATAAAATAAAGACATAAAAATCCAAAAATATGAAAAGTCCTCGTTTTTCAAACTTGTGTACATAAAGTTTATGTGCAGAAACACCAGATGGTGGCCATTATGGAAAAGTCTCCTGTTTGCCAACCAAAAGAGAAGGAAGAAAAAGTTTCAACTTTTTAGATTGTCTTTGCCTTTCACAAAAAATATCCCAAAACAAATTCACAAAAACAAACTGAACAATCCCAGATCAGACCGACGTAAACCATGTTTTTCTATGCATTAGAGTGAACGTAAGGCTGGGAAATCAACATCACTGACAGATATCACACTCAGTCCCCCTGTGTATCACAACGCCTCAGTTAGAAAGTGTGGTAATGTTGTTAATATGAGGCTCTGCACTCACACAAATAACACTCTCACTTACACACACTACACACACTACACACACACACACACACACACACACACACACACACACACACACACACACACACACAGAGTGTATTAGCAGAGGTCTGGACTCTGCAGAGCGGTGGATGAGTTTCTCGTCCCAGCATCCGGTGTCCCTCTCAGACACATACGAAGAGATGAAGAGAAATAAATAATAATAAAGACAAAAGAAGGATGGAGGTAAATATTTGACAATTGCTTTATTAGTCAGCTCCCACTAAGTCCACCCCCCCTCCCTCAAGGAATTTTGTTTTGCAATAGTATGAAAAAAATAAAGTTTTCAAATGCACCCACACTGAAAACTTCAGTGTTGGGGAGGCAAATGATGTCTCAGACTGGATGAATTTTTCTAGGGAAGTCGTTAGCTGACCTGATAGACAGAAACATGTCTCATCAACATCTAAGCCTATTTGAGAACCAATACTCGAATGTGCTGTTGTAATGTCAGCTACAGGTAGGTACTGGTATCGTCTTCCAACTGCAGTGACCAAATGACCACGTCGACTACAGATCATATCCTGTAGTTAAAAGGCCGTCCAACGATGAATTACTGAGGATTTTATTTCTTGTTAATGGAAGAAAAAGAAGAGAGAATAATGTGCTTTTAAATGAACTGTATACTTTAACAATGTATGAATTAAAACTATAGTAGTTTTAATACAAAACAAAAGAAGGACTAATTTCTGTGTGCATGCATTCTCTCAACACACACACACACACACACACACACACACTCTCGCAGCATGGTGAGCATGAAGTCAGTCCACTCGTGTCTCTTCTGCAGGCTTTAAAGTGAGGGGCACTGCTGCTTCTGTCAACACCTTCCCAGTGAAAACTCTCACAAACACGCTCGGGTCATGTGACGACACGGCCGCTCCCAAACAGAAACACACTCGCAGCCTATAAACACTCTCACGGCACTGACTTCACATGTCAAAAAGAGTCTGAGAAACGGCACACGGTAAGAGTTCATGTTTTATTTGTCCTTTTAAAATGTACAAAGCCTGATGAGAAAATCCGTATTGCAAACACCCAAATTGATATGTAAACAGATTTATATAGAAAATTAAAACTTTCAGGCCCTGAGTGATAAAATGCAGAGGGAAGAGACACAGACACACCTGTCAGGACAAACCTGGAGCACAGAAATAACTGATAAGCGTTTTTCCTTCCAGGGCTGCTGGATTCTGTAGTCTCACAGCCGAGGCTTGATCTGCAGTTTTTTCTCTGCGGAAGAAAAACAGGGAATTTAAATGAAAAGACGAGTATTGGCAGAAATGAAATGACAAAAAGGCAAGGTGTGTGTGTGTGTGAGCGCTCATGTGTAACTGACTCAGATCTACTGTGTGTTGAATCCCGCTGAAACGCTGAGTGATGACATCTCAACTGATGAGTAAATGAGGAAGAGAACGGGACAACAGGGATGGATGAAGGTGTGTGCACAGGAAGTGTGTGTGTCTGTGTGTGTGAGGTCGCCGTCTGGCAGTGATACATTGCGTCTGAGCTAATTTATGCAAAGTGAAGAGGAGCTTGTTTGGCTGAGTTCCACCTTTAATGAGGCTCTGGGCGGTGCAGCGTCATTAGTAATACTTAAGAGCACAAACCGACCGGACGGAGCAGGCGGAGGGGGCGATGAAATGATCACTGCTTCACCTGTGTGTGTTTGTTTGTTTGTTTGTTTGTGAGTATGTCTCAAGAGAAGTGGATCTCGACCTCATTGGTGTCACTGATGCACTTCAGGGCACAGGCGTTTGAGAAGATGTAGTCCGAGGATTCAGCCTGAGAAGGATTTTTCTGTGCCTTTATTTGAAGACAGATGGGAAACGGGGGGCGAGAAAGAGATCGAACCCAGGCCGTTGATGTAAAGACTTTTTTTGGGGACCCCATTGAACTCCCTTCAAGGACCCCAGGTTGAGACCTGACCTAGAGTCTGTCAGTCTAAAGTTCCCGGAATTCAACATGACATCTTCAAATTACTACAAAGATATTCAATTTACAACGAAGACAATGACCGGAAAGCAGCAAGTACCTCACAGCTGGAACCAGACACTGTTTGGCATTTGTGCTTGACATGTGACTCAAATAACTGATCTGTTATTATCAACATTGTTTAGTTTCTGTTGATTGAGTCCATCACAGAGCAAAGACACACTGTACGTGGCCAAAAGAATTCACAACTACAGCAGGTTAGAGTTTCTAACTGTCCTGACATAAAGCAGTGTGGACAACGTCCCACAATCCCAAGCTCCAGTGACAGGAGACACTTTCTTGACATAAAAAATGCAGTGGTCAGGTTGTGTCTCAAGTAAAGATGTCTAAAAGGTAAGGTTTATATGAGCTTGGGTGCAATTAGTAATTCACTTTCTTTGGGATATTCAAACCAAATGCTGTTGATTTCAAATAGTATTCCTGGTTAACAACCACTCAAACTTCCTCTGGTTGTGTCAGCTCTTAACTGCATGCACTTATTTACGTACTTTGTATTTTTGCAAACATCTTCCAAGTTTAACACCCCACCAACAGTTTTGACATTTCTCTCCTTTTTCAAGTGTATTGCAGTCCTAGAAAGTTAGTCTACAACTTTCCAAGGACCCGACAGACACTACTGCACCTAACTTTAGAGGATCTGGATGTGAGCAAATTGTCCTTCCATACTTACCGGATATACACAGCAGGCCTAAGAACAAATGCCAAAACAAAGATAAACTCATGAGGACACGCAAAAACATCTACTGCAACAATATTATTAGAAATGCAGGCTGTGAGCACTGTATGTGAGGGGGGGAGGTCAGAGGTCAAGATGACACAGGTCAGGTCAAAAGTCCTGCTCGTTTACAAGCAGAGAAGACTAAATATAAACCATGAAAGAGAAGAAGAAGTAACTCCTGAAAAAGTAAGAGTGACAATGTTCATGAGATTTCTCACCATCCAGCAGGAATATGATGAAACTGCCACAATGGTAGGTGCAGAGTGAGTCCCAATCCAGGTTGAGTGGACAGACCTTGGTTTTTAGTATATATATATATATATATATATATATATATATATATATATATATATATATATGGTTTCCATTATTATATCGTTTGACTATGGAAATGTTACACATTACAGAAAAAGGAACCAAACCGGACTGAGAAGAAGAGACTTCGGTCAATAGAGGTGAGCACCAGTGTCGACAAGGTCCTTTACTCTCACCTCTGGAAGTTTCAGGCTGCGACGTTCCCAGAAGCAAAAACTTGGGTCCTGAGTCCAGGAAGACTATTGAGACCTCAAGGAAGTTCTGGCAAACCGTCAGATGACTCAGAAAAGGCAAGGCTTGGCTCAGGCTGTATCAGGGATATTGTCGAGCAGTGGAAAGAACACTTGGAGTAAGCCCTGAACCCAACCAACACGGCCTGTTGTTGTCCAGCTCATTACAGGGGTCATGGGAGTTTGCCCATCCAGTCTGGACTTGGAGAACTGAGCCTACAACTGAGTCTCATGGGGAGTCATGTGAGGGGTTCTGTGGGAGAGTGGTATATTACTACGAGCCATCCATTCCTTAGGTAACCAGAATGAGAGCTCGGGATTCTCGGCAGGGAGTCAAACATGTTTTCAGTGTGTGCTTGGCTCCACCAGGGTTGTCTCCCGTCACTGATTCTGTTTCGGATTTTCATGGAGAGGATCTCAGGATGCAGCCGGTGGGACGAGAGTGTCCGGTTGGAGGACCACAGAATTGCGTCCTTGCTCTTTGATGATGATGTGGTTATGTTGGCTTCATCCAACCGTGACATCCAGCACACGCAGGAGCGGTCGGGATGAGAGTCAGCACCTCCAAATCAATATTAGATTTTCTCTTTATAATTTATCTAGAAGCTGGTTAGGTTTGGGAAACCCCTGGATATGTTAAGTCAAGAATGAAATATAGGACATTATAGTATTTTTTTTACAAGTGGATTTAGTCTTTCAAATTACTGAAGCTATGACTGAAACAACTCATTGGCAGAATTCAGCACAAAAGAAAATCGACCCAAATCTCAGAGAAATGACTAACTGCAGAGATCAAGCTGTCAAGATGAGTTTGATGATCCATGTTCAGCTTTTCCACTGAAGCAGATGTAACAGATCTGTTGTCTCTCAGCAGTTGCAGTCTCTCGGGACCTTTTCATTTTGTTTGTCAATGAAAACAACCTCTGCCACCTCTTTAGCAAAGAGAAAATGCAATCCTATTTTCATGAGCCCTGGAGAAAACCTGAGGACCAGACCTTATTTATTTAAGGACATTAAAGACAAAATTTTACAGATTTTAACCTGTGGTATCATGTGATCATATTAGTCATTGGATCAGGTGAAAATATAGTAATTATTTTGTTTTAAAATCAGTCAAATGAGACAGAAAATTAGAACATTTTAGGTAATGTGGTGAGTGGTAAAACTGGAATGTTGCTTTGCAGTGTCAGCCAGCATGCATGTGTGTGTGTGAGCAGGTGGATGGTCAAGCCGGGTGGGAGGAGGAGGATGGGGGAGGAAGTTGGAGGGGGGAAGGCAGCCTCTCCTAATCCTCTATCTGTCAAGTCTGTCAACAGAGAGCTCAGCTGTGCCTCCGTCCAGCCCAAAACCTAAATATTATTACCTCTGTCCTCTGAGCATTATTACTCCTCCCCAGAGCATAATCACACTCACTCTACAGCCAAGCTCTGATCATCATTATCTGTCTGCGGCTCAGACCAACCACCACTCCCCCCTTCTCATTCATTCAGACCTGATCCTGTGGCTTTCATGACTAACACGATCCTTCCACAAAACATCTCTGGACAGTCAGCACTTTAAGATACATTGATCGATCTTAAGATACATCCTATGTTTCACAACCTGAATGTCATTTTCTTAGTCTTTCCCAAATATTTGACTTGCCATATCTGGATATGTGGAGTCCAACAAGAGCAGAAATAATAAATTAAATGCTTATTTGGATGTGAAAGTGGAATTGAATGCCTTCCTAACGTCAGTTATAATCCCTGAAAATCACAAAATAAGTGTGTGAACAACTATAATACGTACGTGGGTAAAAAGTCAGCAATTAGATGAGACAGAAAATACTGTATAAAAAAATAAACACATTGGTTTTTTGTATTTGTAAAAAATTACTTTGAATGCTTCATGGACACTTTCTCTGGTCGGGGGTCTCTTATGGTCTTTCCATGTCATAGAGTTTTGTTTTGTGTAAACACTGGGACACTCTGAGTGCTTTAGGTGTGTTGATAATATTTTGGTACCTTTAACCTGTGAGGTCTCAGTCAGCAGTGTGTCCGGTGCGTCTGCCTCCTCTGGGGAGCTGGAGAGGGAGATGAAGGATGGCAGCGCCAGGGGACCTTCGGTGGGCGTCTGTGGAGCTGCTTGAGAGACCTGCGGGATGACGACAGACAGGCAGGGCCTAGAAGAGAAGAAAAAATGTTAAAAGGTCAAAAAGGCTTCAGATGATGATTCTTGTCGGTTAGGAGTGAGCTCGGTACAATATGCTCCCCTGACCTCTTGGAGTGCTCCTTCGTTCGGGCTCTCTTGGCTGGGGTGGTGGAGGTGCTGCTGGTGCTTCGTTTGGCTCGTTGGCGGTGCTGCAGCTTACAGCGGGCTCCTCGAGGGCAGGATCCCGTCTTAGAGAAGTCTGGACACACCAGAGTGTGTTTCTTCTTACACTGATGGTTAGAGACAAGGAGATACAAACACAAACTCACATGCTTCACTTGTAACAGCTAACACAAAGAAAATCAGAAAAACTGCTGATGCTGCTGATTCAGAAAAAGTCAAACTGAAAATAAACCCTTAAACTACAGCTTAAAAAAAGAGTAGTTCGCATAAGTCGTTTATGTATTACATGTAGCTGATTCAACACCTCAAACACAGTAAATGAGCTTCACACTCACTCACACTGTGGCTGCTATTCATTAACTACTCTAGTTCAGAGATGCATGATCGGGTATGAGGGGAAAACATTTCCGTTTTCCAGCAGACAAATATATTTAGGAGTTTATTGAGTGCTATGAAGCCATTTTATAGGACCAGCTAACCAACAAACCAACTAAACAATATTTCCTCATAATCATAGTAGCCCTTTCCAAATGAACCAATTCAAAATTGGTTTCATGACAACACGAGTTTAGCATTTTTTAGGTCCAGTAAAGTCACATATCTAAACATGTTCAAACCTTTATGGGAAGCTTTAGAGTAGAAAATCTTATATGTTTTTCATTCCCTCTTTTGTGACAGCGTGTCAAATAGGCAAAATAAGGACTTATCATGATTAGGTACTTTATTTTGTTATATTATTACATCCACCCTCTTGTGAGTTAATACTTTTGTAGTTGTAAACAACCCCCAAATTTAATCAGACTGTCTAAAGTGCTTATTTGGAAGTGAAAGTGGAAGTGAATGCCTTCTTAGTGTCAGTAATAATCCCTAATGCGCAGAAAATGAGTGTGCAAACAACCACGAGTTAAAGTTGAAGTAAGACGTCTGCAAAATCGAATAGATGTTTACAGCGGACAGGTGTTTACAGACAGAACTCACTGTATGGAAACTTTAATGTTTGGTCACGTTAAGTCACACAAATGAAGTTGGTGAGTAAAATGTTAAAATCAATAAGGAAAGGATAGAGTATCTCTCAGAAGTAGTAAAAGTCTTTTTTTTCCCCAAATACCTTTTGCTACTTCTGAGAGACACTCTTTTCTTTAATGTGCAAGTTGAGCAAGTGGGTTACAGTCAGCGTCATTCTGGGAAGTATTGTGCATGAGAGAGCGAGCTTTCACATGCATGTTTGCAACTGAGTGTGTATGACAGTGTAATACGGGTGTAAATTGGTAGCTTCATTCTCCACGAGATCCGATCCCTCCCACCTGTCAGAAAAGCTAATTATATTCACTCTGGGGTGCAGGCTGCGAGGAGTGTGTGTGTCTGTGTGTGTATAGGGGTGAGGAGTGCGGGACCGGGAAGCAGATTGGTCCAGAAATAGAGTGTGTATCAGGGGGATGTGTGTGTGTGTGTCTGTGCGTGTGTGTGTGTGTGTGTGTGTGTGTGTGTGTGTGTGTCATTGTGTGGAGGGGAGAGGGATGTTGAGATCGATTTTCCAGGACACTATGGTCAACTCTCTCTGGAGTACAGCAGACCTGACTTGGTGCCATCACACCCATGTTCCCGCACCCCTGGGTGCCAGGGCGGCCCAGGGTCAGCTTGCTGTCAAATGTTTCTCTGGATCATCTTATAGGGCTGCGGTTTCGACACCACATTTCGCTCAACAAATCAGGTCTGCTGCTGGTGTCAGTGATCATTCATCGTTTTATATTTGGTATCTGACATCACTGCTGAGCCGGGTCACGGTCAGGTCTTGGTTGTGCTGAGAAATACACTAGTATTTATCATTTATTGCCCTGATGTTGTGAATTGTAATGAATGATTTAGGGGTTCCGCTTAATATTTTTATTTTATGATCATGAATTTAATTATTCTCAGTTATTTTCTTTCCAATCTACGCTACAGTGATCCACAATTAATACAACTTCACATTTGGAGCATTGACTGTGTTGCATCAAACTGAACCTTTCTTATCAACAAGTAAACCGATTATAGACATCTCTCGAGCTGCAAGAATGAGTCTATTAATCCATTATACGTAGACTATTTTACTTAACGCTTAATTGTTTTTTGTTTCTAGTCAAGAAAGAATTTCCACATTCTCTGGTTTCAGCTTCTCAAATCTGAATATTATCTGGTTTCTCTGATGCTCTATGACAGTAACCTGAATATGTTTGGGTTGTCAGGACGTCACCCTGGGCTTTGGGATACTGTGATCAACATTTTATGGCCCAACTACAAATCTATTAATCGAGAAAATGATAGACAGATTAAGTGATAATAAAAATAATCATTAGTTGCAGCCCAAACACTCTCTGATTACATAACTGTGGCTGTTGACCTCAGCATTTTATCACAAAGGCAATATAGAATCGTTACTCCATTTTCTATGGAAGGATAAACCCTTTATTTAGATTGCAAGTTAATGAGGTGTTCTTATTATGAAAATTTTACACTGATACATTGATTTGACGTAAAAAAAAAAAGTATTTTATGTTCAACAAAAAGTTTGATTGCATCCTGTCAAAGATGGATGTGTAGTTGTGGTGATTTAAATAGTGAGCAGAATTCTTATGATAACCCTTATATCCATAATCATGCAGACCACATGCAGTCCAATGTGATGCGTAACAAGTGCACAGTATTAATTGTAACTTTGCAAACTTAAACAGATATTGTAATATATTTCATAGTAACATCAGAAGTGCTTATACCTCTAAACTTACAGCTGATGCACAAACCTAAAATGTTTAATGTGGCTGTGCCAAATTAAAAATGTGATATTTTCTAAAAATGCGCCAACTCTCCCAGATGTCGAGAGACAAGTGTGACGGAACAACAGGAGTTAACAAAGCTGATGCACTTTCTGTGAAAGTGAAGGAGAAATTGACTGTAAAAGCTCAGTCCACTCCCCACAGCTCCATACATCCTCATTTTCATAAAAAGATAGAGAGAGAGAAAGAGAGAGAGAGACAGCAAGCTGGGAAATGGGAGGAAAAAGCTAAAGTGGACAGAACATCTTTATCCCACACCAAGTTAACAATTTTCCACTTGATTTAAGGAATGCTGGGATGTCTCTGGGGCCTATTAGAGAGCTCTCTGCTGGGCCAAAACCAGGAGGAGTCAGCACATTTACCAAGAGACTGAGAGAATGAGCAAAAGAAGCAAGAAAGAAAGAGAGAGGGAGGGAGGGCAGGAGATGGAAAAGACAGTAAAATAAAAAAAAGGACATCACACGCATTTACATCTTGGGCATTAAGCCGACACTCTTGTCTAGAGCAACTTACAGTGAGTAGAACGGAACAATAAATGAGCTCAGGTTGCTCGGGTATTAACACAGAGAGAGTAATATTAAGAAAATGAAAGTTCACGCTGTCACTAGATCTTAGGTCGCGTTCAGGCAGACAATTGCACTCCATCAAAAGCAGCCTCCCCCATTCATTTCAATGAGTGCGTTAATGCAGTGGGGATGGGACTGAGTCCACGCAAAATGGGCAATCAAATATGTGTTGACCTGACGATGGTCCCGATGGAGGGACGGTGGAGAACCACTGGAAGGAAACAGATCTCGCAACGTCACTTTCACCACTTCTAGCTCGTCGCCGTGTCAGCGCTTGTAAGCTAGCAAGTATGATGCTCATCAGAAAAAAAGTAAGCAACCTGTGACTCTCTCAAACAATTTATTTGACGTTGTGGCAAGCAGAATGCGTTATTTTCGCCATCACCACCTGAATGTGGTGTAACACACAGCGACACCGCTGCAGAGAGACATCTGTAAACACACTGGATATGTCCTACAGGCAGAAAAAGTAGAACTGTAGCCAGACAAGTTTGCTGGTTTTCTGAAGATGCCAATGATGGCAAAGAATAAAGGCCTATCCTGTAATGACGAAGGGTCAAGATGCTGATAGTGTTTTAAAGAAATCTACGGGTGTAAAACAGAAAAGTGCAAGTCAGATGCATTTTCACTGAGGGCTGTCTGTTAAAAAGCCTTGTCTTCTGCTCAAGTTCAACTTGAACACCCGACAAAGAATGGAGCCAACTCTGCCAGCATGCACGTACTCTATGTTTTACATCTGCATAGCAGGAGTAACTCTCAGTAGTAACGTGCATGTGTCCATGTGCAGAGAGACAAACAATGAAAACTAGCCAAAGATTTCCACAACACTGAAATTGTTTTTAACTGTTCTGATATACGCTTGGAACACAAACTGAGAATATATACGTAGACGGCATTGTAAAGTCCTGGTTTAAAGTGAGAAATAAAGAGAAAGGGGCAAAATCTCACATTCATTAGGCTAAACAGCCGATCAGACAGCCCTCTGTCAATGTCTGCAGCTGAAATGGTTTCAACACGCTGAATCAGCCTAATGGACGTTGATAAGAGCCGATAAGAGATTACTATAGCCAAACCTGTCAACTGACAGTTGGCCACAGACGCTCAGTGACGCCTGATGGCGACTGTCGGCCTGACGTGTGAGGAACCTGGGAGAAAATGCAGAAAGTAATTAAAAACTGCTAAAAAATGATGCTGCAGAGAAAAGAAACGAGAGGCACAATTAGGGAGGCACAGACAGATCCTACGAGGTGGAGGGTGAGCGTGAGACAAAGCCAGGATGGAGGCGAGGAGCAGACTTAACCCCTGAGCTGCTGGAGTGTCTGCCTGCCTGGCCCATAGTGCCATCCTCAGCAGTTTTCCCATCTATAATTACTGCCTGCTATCCATCATAGAGCCACCAGAGCCTCACAGCGCAGCGCTCCATAAACACACACGCACTCAGGCACAAACACACACAAACTCATGCACACACACAGGGGGAAAATCACAGACCTAAGCACTTCAGCTAATAGAATAAATATTAATATCCCTTTTGTTTTCTATATCCTCATTTCCCCATGCACTATTTAAATGAGGTCTGACAGTGTGAAAAAGCATCTGTTTCACACTCGACGCTCAAAAACAAGCAAGGGGGGAGGAGGAGAGAGGGGGAGACAAAGGGAGGCAAAAACAAGAGGGGGGAAGAGAGGGGAGTGGAGTGTTTGAGGTGGATGTGGGTACAGAGTGTGAGGGGGACTCGGGTGTCTCGAGTCATGTGTAGGTGGCTCTCTGTTACCCATCAGGCCCACAATGTGTCACTCAGACACTACAGTTATGCCATTATGGACCGCCACCCCCTGCAGCTGTTCCTGCCTGTGTGTCACTATGTACATGTGTGTGTGTGTGCGCAGGAGGGGATTGGTTACCAAACTACTTGTTTACCTAAGCCTCAGTTTAACTTCAGTGGAACTGTATACATGTTGTACAATATAATTATACTTTCAAATGGAGAACACAGCTTAGACAAAGAACTTAACAGTCCAGTAATGGCTTCAACGCAGCGCTAAATAAAGAATCTAGTGAGATCAAAACAACATGAAGTCCAAAAGACAAAACGGTCAAAACAGTGACGTCTCGTTTCAATTCTTCCAATCAGACACAGTGATACAGGTTAAAGCTGTGTGGAGCGTCTACAGGGTTCCCACTCTGTAGACGCAAAAGAAGTCATTTTCCAGGATCTTTTTTTTTTTTTGACAATTCGGTCAGTGTTTATGGGACACTCAAAGCACTTGGCTGCTTTCACCACAGCCGATTTCTATGCATCTAGACTTGATGCCAAAAGTTCACTGCAAGTCTCCCGTCTGACATGGTAGCCGGAATGAAAAGGGAGAAACTTTCTGTTACGCTTTGCATCTGATAAACTTGTTTAAAGTGTCTGTGTAGCTTATCCTACCAACAGTCAAGTTCTAAAGAAAATACACACCTAGGTTTATCTAGCTGATCTGAGCGATACAATTCAAGTTTTACAGGTCAACACAGATTATTTCCAGGATATCTGGTCATTTTAATCTATTTCCAGGTGTTTCCATGAGTGGAAAACTAGTCTCTAAATTTCCTGGTTTTCCAGGTTTTCCATCTGAATGTGGTGTCACACTTCACACCAGTGTCCACAACCTTCATCTGACCCAGGCTGAACCCTGCTCAGATGCCGCCTGCCTTTGTTGAACAGGTGTCTATACTTGGGGTAGACTTCATCATCAGAAGAGTTTCATGCTTAAAGGCCTCTTCCACTCAAAAAATCAGTGTTTCTTCTTGTTCCTACAGAGTGATGTTTGAATGTCTGTGCAGAGTTTGACTCTAGAAGGATGTTTTTACATTCATCTGCTGAGAAGTGGAAAGTTTCTCTGAAAAGCTGATTTTAAGGGGCGTCACACACAGTTTGGAAGTTAATCCTGATTCAGTATGCAATTTATACAGTGTGATGTAGACAGTTGAAGCCACCAGTGCACATCCACTGAGAATGGACAGAGAGACATCTTCTGTCCAGCAGGAAAAATATTCAGATTCTGAAAGTCTTAATGAGGTAGAAGGAGTAGATACCTTTTTAATATTTTAATGTGGAAATTATACTTCTTTTTGTGGAAAAAGCATATCACACACACATTATTGTTCCAAGCAGACTATTTGTATATGTCCTAATACATGTCTGGACAGGATCTTAAAGTGTTAGTGATTTCCAGAAGAGAAAGAAACAGAGGGAGCGAGAGAGAGGTTTGACAGGTTTGCTCCTGTGTTAATGTTGTTTGCTTCGGCCGGATAAAAGAGTGCTCTTACAGTATAGGGTTGGGTTTTTTGTCATTTTATTTTGTCAATTTCACTGCTCTTTTTCAGCGATCTAACCCAGTAGCACAAAGAGGCCAACAACAGCAAAGGCAGACTATTTTGATTCATTTTATTTTGTTTCTGTCGAGATTTAATGAAGTGTTTTTTACGATGAGTTAACAGGGCAATTAAGCTAGTCTTACTTCAATCATGTTAAAAGAGAAACTTGAATTCAAAAGGTGTAGGGTTGTATTTTCTGTTTGATGTGGAAAATAGGTGTAAAAATGTTTAAACACCTTTTTTAGTTCATTTATAGCTAAGAAAACTTGTGAAATTTGCCATTCACACACATCTCCCAGCTGAAACCACTAATACAGTCATAATGGCTCTCTGACACACTGCCTCAGGTTGAATGTATGTGTGTGTGCATGTCTGTGTGGTACCTTCTCTCCCTCTGGACAGTAGCCTTTGACAAAGTCCTCACACACTTCAGCTTTGCGGGACACGTAGACGTGACTGTAGGGACAGTCGCTGTTGTTACAGATTCCCTTCAGGAAGTAGGAACACACCGGCATCTGGAGAGAGTCAGACACAAATATGTGAGCCATCTGAACCTGAGAAGTTGTTCATAGTGTTTGACAAAATATTCTAATTAGAACATAGACTTACAGGAATTTGTGGGAAGTTGAATAAAATCTCTGACTTTATGTTAGGGTTAAAGCTGGGGTAGTTACAGACTTCTTCTATGCTCCTGGGACTGCCCCAGAACTCAGAGATTATTGGCAAAATGTCCAAAAGGAGATTGAATTGATTTTGGGTATCAATCTGACTCTGACTGAATTGAGCACCTTTGATTCTTGGCAGTCTTCCTGAAAACATACAGTGTCAGACAATATCTTGAGATATCTATTAAAGATTTGCTTCTGATAGCAAAAAAAAAAGAGTCTCCTGGTTAAAACTGCAGCCTCCAAATATTATAATATATAAGAAAAGAAAAGTTAATGTGTAAAGAACTGCTTTTTTTTTTCTCCCTCACAAATTATAACTAATTTTTTCTGTTCTCCATAAGACAATAAATAACTGACATGTACATAAAGAAAATACAGGCAGCAGGGGTGACGAGAGCATGAGATTAGATGAGATTATATAAATTTGTAAACAGACATGCAGATCTAAAATCACACCACCGTCATGTACAGTTCACACATGTCCCATGTGCCAAGCAATCTGTCACACTGAGCAGCTAGATTACCATAATTGCAGTTGACAGCGGCAGAGTGAGAGTGAATGTGTGTCTTGACAGCGTGTGTGTGTGTGTGTGTGTGTGTGTGTGTGTGTGTGTGTGTGTGTGTGTGTGTGCGTGCGCGAATGCATGTGCACGCGGAGAGATCTACAGTTGGGTGTGCGTGGGCGAGCCTGGTGGAGGCCGGTCTAAATATACCACTGAGGGGCTTCAGAAAGACGGAGAGGGGGAGGTCGCGGGGAGGCGGAGTGTGAGAGGGACTCCTCCTTGTTGGGATGGGATCAGTTCTACCTAATTAACTGCTACAGAAATATTTATCCAGGCTGTAGCTCGTCCAGCTCTCATGATGTGTTTATGTGCTCTGGATGTGTGCGCAGACTAGGGCAGTGGTGGAGGGAGGGGGGAGAAGCAGGGTGGTGTTCCCGGTTGTGTTGGGGGGTAATGCCAGGGGTGTAGGCTCGGGAGTGTCTCGTTACGAAGTATTTGTGGTAGTGGGGGGACAGCAGGGTGGGGGGCAGGACTCAGGACTGGGGCTCGCCTATCCACAGTAGTGCCTGGATCAGGTTCTGCTGGGTGTATAACCCCATTACCCCCCTCCCCCTCCCCACTTCTCCCCAAGACCCCCATACTGTCCCGTTTAAGGGTTCCACATGTAATAAGAGCGGGAGTATCCTGTGGAGGGATGGGCCAAAGGTTTGGGGGTGAGGGGGGGCTGTTGGAGAGGTGGCATTACAAACAGACAGCTGGGCTCTCAGCACTTACAGGCAGCAGTGTGACAACCAACACAGGTGCAGGGCATTGTGTGTGTGTGTGTGTGTGTGTGTGTGTGTGTGTGTTTGCAGGGTGAGGCAGGGCACCTGTTGTAGGGTTGTTTGTCTCAAAGAAAAAAAAAAAAGGTTTTCTTTTTTGAGTCGCTACACTTTCCCCTAGACGGGCAAGACACACACACAAACACACACAGTCACATCCTCCCAGCTTCCAGGGGACACGACTGAGTTCGTCCAAATGATCAATTTGAAATTGAGGAGGCAGAGTTTTATTGAAGCTGCATGCAGGAACAACTTCCTTGAAGGTCGAGCAACAAAGACCTAAAATCTGCTAATAACAGGATTCTCTGCACAGCCTTTAACTGATACGTTGGGTGATTTGTAAAGGGCAAAGTAGTTAGTAGCATGGAGTCAATGGTTCAAATAAAATATAGGAACATTTCAGTTAGTAACATTATTCTAAAAATATGATTGTAATTTATTTTCCAGCGTCACTTTTGGTCGATGCCCAGGGTGATGCTCGCTCGCACCTACAAACTGTGTTAGCACGAGCAAACAAGACGCTGACTGCACCTCACTTAACGGCCACTGGTGTCAGTTGTTTTCTGAAAGTTAGAGATTACTGAGTAGCTGTCGCTCCCAAGCAGGAGAAGATGTACTAAGGTGATGTGAAGTTGCTGTATGAGCAAACCAGATCAAGACTGTGGTGGACTGTCACGTTTAAAAAAAAAAAAAAACAATCATAACAAATGTTTCCAGCAGTGTTACACACATTCACAAGGAAGGAGGTGATGAGGGAAGAGAAAGCAACACACACAGATTCATCCTGTCGGTCAGTAGATCCAACAGGTGACCCTCAGTCACAAGCTCCTTTACCCATAAGTCCTTCCCTGAACTCTCCATCTGGTCAAGTCTTCCTGACTCTTTCCTGTGTCATGGAAACAGGAGCCGTGCCAAGAACGCAAATACGATCCACGATGACTGTCCCCAATAGTGTGTCATCTTATACCCACACACTGTACCCAATCCTGGCCATTGCAATGAAAACCCATAAAACACTATGTTGTCCAACACATAGACCGGGTGTATGTGAGTGCATGTGTGCATGTGTACCTTCTCCTTTGCCACCTTGTGGGAGAATGGGCAGGTACCATCTGCCTGCTTGCACGTCCCTCGCAGAAACCTGCACATAAACGACAGAAACAAGCCTGAGAATGCAGCTAATAGTGCTGTGTGGAAGTGTTTCTGTCCATTGTTAACTTACCATTTGATAGTTTTCTTTTAATGATTCACTCAATGTGCCTCAATAGAGAAACACAGTGTGTCATGTGTAATTTAATTGTAGGTTAATGTCATGGCCATTGATTTTTTACCCTCAGTTTGGTATGGTGAATGTATTTCTTTGTACCAAGTATGATCTTGTTGCACATGCATGTTAACACACACATTGTCCTAAAAAGTTCAAATCCTTTCTAGACATGTTTTGTGTACAAAGACATATGTATATTTTACTTTATCTTCTGTTTTTGATATTTAATAAAGAGATTTTTTTCCTATTACGTTTTAGATCAGTGGTTCTCAAACTGTGAGGACTGTTGGAGCATTGGGTCACTGCAGGTGGGGCGTCGATGCCCAGTGAAAAAAAGGAACAAAGTTGAAGGAATATGCTTTATGTAGGGAGAATAAACAAACAGGAGTTTACTGATGCTATTGCGCTGACCTTTATGTCACTAAAATTCAACTTGGATCCCTTTTTTTTTTTTTTTTTGGTTCCTCTATCATTGTTAGGGGGTCATTTCTATGACTTTAATATAAAGCAACAGTTTAAGTGTGAGGGAGGAGAGAGACGAGGAATGTCATGCAATAACGATCCCCAGCTAATCAGGGGACATTGCGGTCACAGAGCGTAAGAAAATGAACAAGACTTCCTGCACACGTGATACCTGAAATAACCATCTGGCGTACAGTGGGTCCACTGGCAATGAAAAAAGATTGTCCATCTTTACTGCAGATCGGCGATCAGAACTCTAATCTCCCCGCTCTGTGCTGTTCACCAGCCTGAACTTCCAAATATGACAAAATGGGGCGTTGTTGTGTATTTGTGTTACCTGGTGCAGACAGCCACCTTGTCTGGGTCGTGGATGTAGGGACAGCTGTTGCCACGGTTACACTTGCCGAAGCGGTTGTAGTACATGCAGTACTGCTTCGGCTGCTTCTTCTGACGAGCATGTCGGATTATGGCGAGGCTCCGTTGGACTGCCCGGCTTGTTCCAGCAAACACAGACAAACCACAGGTATCAACAAATCAATCACAAGCGGCTTGTGGTAACTAGAGAGGACAAATTATATATGATTGGAGTGTTAAACCCCTTTGAGGAGCATTGGGTAGATGTATCCACCATATGCTAATTTTAATTTTAAAGATTACTTCGGGCTTTACAGGCCTCAGTTTACAGTGATGAAAGGCAGTTAATATTAGAGGTGGGAGGGGGCGGTAGGGGTAGAGGAGGATCAAATGCTAAAGTCTTGGCTGGATTTGATTGCATGATAGTGCTATTGTGTGAAGACGGCAAACAGGATGGGAAGAGATGAAACAGGTTAGTGTTGTGAAAAGCTTACCTGGCTAGATGACGAGTACTGAAAGGTCGGTTGAAAGCAGGACTCATGGATGAGGCCTGGCTGGTGCTGAAAGACCTTCCTAAATGTGGAGAGAACAGAGACATGAGAAACTTAAATGATATTTAAGAATCCTCATTTTGAATACAAGTATATGAAATAGAGCAGCAACTAATCATTTTCATTGTCGATTAATCTGTTGAATGTAATGGATTAATCGATTAGTTGTTTGGTCCGTAAAATGTCATAAAATGACAAAAAAAAACAATGGCAATAAAAACAAGGCGATGCCCTCAAATGTCTTGTTCTGCCCACAACCCAAAGAGATGAAAAGATGAAAGAAACCAGAAAATATTCACATCTGAGAAGAGGAAATCTGAAAATGTTCTCAAAACAACAGTTAATCGATCAATCGACTATTCCTTGCAGCTCTACTATGAAAACACAAATACTAGAACACACCGCGTCTGCAGACTGCACGTGTGTGCAGACGATATGGAAGTATAAAGTGAACTCATAAAGTATTTAAAGTATATTCAAGCAACTGACCTGCAGCTGTTCGTGTTTTTCACTTTAAAATGTGTCACCCTTTGCCTGTATTACCAGTGATGATATGATACAATGTTCAGGAGCAATTTCCTACAATACATTAACTCCTCCTAACTGACTTATGTTGTGAAATGTTACCACAATATTACAAGCAATTCATTTTAGCATGGTTATGAAGACACGGATACAGCAGAGGTCGGCTTTTGTCTTTATTTTAATTTATTCATCTTTTCTGATGTATGTATCTTGCATGTCTTGATGCTGTTTTATTTATTGTTTAAGTTTTATTTAAAATAGAAAATTAAAAAAAAAGCTATTATGACTATTGACGTCAGATATGACAGAAATGAAGCTGTCCGAGTGTGTGTTTGTTCAGCCAGATGCAATAACAACCTGATATGTGCCCGGTTATTTATACTGCGGTGGTTTGACACATTGGTGCCAAAGCCAAACGTGACGTCCAGCTCAGTCTGAAAACATCATAAACACTATGTACCCAATGCACTGCACAAACACGGGAGGGAAAGGTGTGTGTGTGTGTGTATGTGGGCAGCTATTGGACGCCATGACAGGAGTGGAGAAGAAGACAAGGAGGCAAGGAGGGTGAGGTTACAGATGGCAGTTGATCTCATTCAGACCTCTAATTTTGGAACTTTTTTGGCTGTTAAGGCTCTCATCAAGTGTTCTCTCTGGAGTGATTTAAGCAGAGCAGAATTACAGGCCGGTGGCTCCAGACCAGGAACAAATGTGAAGCTCGCTGGTGTAAGATGTGTGACTGGAACTCCTCCTGGGGAGACACCTGAGGCGCATTTCTGGAGGAGGCAGGAATGTGTGTGTTGGTGTTGGGATGCCGGTCACGAGTGGAACAGAATGGGGCTCTTCAATTTCACCTGCAGGTGCTACAGAATGTGTATAAGGGAGACGTGTGAAGGAGGTAGAGGCAGATCCGGGCTTTAATCTGCACCGTCCAGTTCTCCCGACCCTCCCCCTCGCTGCTCTGACAGATGACAACTTTATTATTTCAGATGGCAAATCCAGCCAGCTCCCATAAGTCTATTAGAGAGCATGTGGACGGAGCTGCAGCCACAAACATGAATAAACACTTCTTTATCACCTCAGGGTGCACACAGACTCACTGCCCTGTACTCGCAATACATGTCCTGGATAGGGCTGTGAATTAAACCTTATGATACCCGTAGCACTGACTATTGAACACTATTAAGTTTGAAATGTTATTATTAAATGATTGGTCAGGTTCTTATTCTTTGATTAGACAGTTCCTCATTTAGATGGAAATTTTGCGTGTGTTCTTGTACAGCTGCTGGTGTGTAGAAAACCTTTAAGAAGTTGTGTCACTTTTGTTAAATAAAGTAAGAATTATGTAGAAAAACAAGTATCACATTGCCAGACCAGGTATCATATTGCCAATAGGGATGTACCCGACTCAGAATTTTGCCAGTCGTATCGTATTTGGCTATTCAATACGAGGATCAGACCATTTGTTTTTCTCAGTTCAGCACCACACTAAACTCTTAAATCAGCACTTTCTGCTGTTCCTTGTGTTTTAGCCCACGTTTTAATGCCTTTGTCATCTGCAATGAAAAACACCAGATTTCCCCAGTCAGAGAAAGTAAAAGTGTGCATCCCTGCTCATAGTTCAGCCATAAAAAATCTTAGCACACCACAGAGCGTCTCTCCTGCCGGGCTGCTGATAGCGTTGTCGGCCTTAGAATCAATCACAGATGACGGCAGTAGAGGAGGTTGTACCACCAGCTGGTTCAAAAGAGGTTTAGCCGACTTCACTGGAGCAGAGAGCATCAAAGTAGCCCCTGCCCTGTTATGTGCGGTCACGCTGCCCTCCATTAACTATCACTCCATTTCAATCACATTGTGGTTTGGGGTCATTCTGAGTCTTGGTTTGTAAAGATTACACTCTGCCATGCTGTTGCTCTATGTACAATGATGCAGCTAAAAAACAAAGGTGCAGTGATTCGACTGAAACAATGCGAGACAATTTGGGGGACTTCTCAACTAATGACTGAAATTATTGACTTTTCAAAATTTCTTCCCACCTAAAATCTTGGATGAACAAACTTACAAACCACCCAAAAACCTGTGCTTTTACTACAATAAAATCTGAAAAGTAAAAAACAAAAACAAAAACTAACCTTCTTGATTTTCTGTTTTTTGCATTTGATAAAAGACTCTACTACTATTTATGAATTATCTGACAGCAGGAGAGATGAGAACATTTCTGAAATGATTCTGCAGCTCTAACTTAGACTTAGACTTCTCTTTATTCTAAGTCTAAGTCTAAGTCTAACATTAGCGTGTAAACCAAGCTCCAATGATACAGAGGCTGCACCTGAGCTAACCACAGCTGATGGTGCGCCCACTCATGCTGTGGTCACAACATGCAGCAGTCTACCATATAATACTAAATATTATAATACAGATCAGCCTTTGTCTACAGTTCAGAGCAAACACAGACCATGAGCTTCATAGAAACTTGGATGTGTAAACTCATTAGGTGTGTTTTCTCTTAATAAGTTTTCCACACCTTAGCTGCGAGTAATCGCAGTCCTGTAATTGTCTTCTTGGCTTGAGAAAGAACTAGATCTAAGTGCCACAGGTTACCCGTGGGATTGCACAATATCCGGACAGAGTGTTGTGTTTTACATTACAGTGACGGTACCTGTTCGGTTGATTGACATGTTGGACCCCACGGTGCGGGACAGCTTATTGGCTGACACCCGGTACAGGGAGCCACGAATCCAGCACATGCCTTCATGCTTGCTTCTTCTCCAGTGCTGAGAGGATGACGGGTGTCTGTCGTGGGGAGATCGCAGGCGGCTCTGAAGGAAACTCCTGAGAGGAAGAAGGAAAGAAAAAGACAAACGGAGACAAACAGATGAAATAAGGGATTTTTAACTTAAAGTTATATATTCCTGACAGGATAATTCAGTTTTATTACAACTTTAAATGATGATAATTATCTGTTCAGCTCAGAAATTCTCCGTCAATCTGAGCTGGAATGATATTATCTGCTCAACCCTCCCTCAGTTACACCCCTCTTTTGCCTATCTTCCCTCAAGCTCTTCCACTATATCTCCCCTCCTCACTTTATGTTTCCCATCCTCTAGTCTCCCCTCCTTCCTCTCTCCCTCCCTCCCCCCTTTCTCCCTCCCATGTCACAGCACTCTGTTAAATTGCTCCTCTAATGGAAAGGACGGCAGTGTGGAAATGGAGAGAATTGAAAAGAGGAGAGGAGGAAATCAATGAGATAATAGGCAGGGCAGGGGGCCAGGGCAGTGAGGTTGGCCCCTACACTGGAGCGTAGAGACCACACACACACACACACACACACACACACACACACACACACACACACACACACACACACACACACACACACACTCACACATACGGTATCACAACACACTCCTGCTACAGTATGTACAGTACACACAATCACAGGCCTCTGCACACACATGCTCACCATTCAGAAGTCACTCAGTAGGCTTGAGTATGTGTGCAGCGACTGTATGTGTGTGTATGGGGCTGCTGGGTGGTGGTGGGGTGGTGCAGGGGTTATGGCGATAAATTGCGCTGTCCTGTCACTTCTATTTGGGGCGGATTGGGGCTGGTGTGCAGGGTGCCGCTGGAGGTAATTTGCTGCCGTATTTCAGATGGGCTGGAAATGGGTTTAGAGCGAGAGTTCATGCCTCCCATTACAGAGAAAAGAGAGGGTTACCCCGAATGCACGCCGCGCACAAAACAACTGACACGGATGCTTAACACGCTGCAGCCGGCGGAGAGCTGCTGCACTGCTGCAAATAAGAAAGAAACTGAGCAAATATCAGCCATCAGCGGCGTTCACGTACATGGTCTACCTGACTGCGTGCCATAACTCAGCAGCACAGACACTCAGTTTCACTGATACAAGATCAGTGGCTGCCCTACACAGGGCAACTGCAGCCAGGGGAGCTGTAATGGAGGCTAATGTTGGAGTGCTGACTGCCACCCAGGGAGGCTTAAACAAGGACCGGGCGGCCTGGGGAGCCACAATGGAGGTTAATGGGGATATGACATGAACAGTTAACACAGACGGCAGTTAACCCTGACACAGGGCTGCAGCCAGGGGGGTGACCAGGGGGTGTAACACCTAGTCTGTGTCCGAACCTCAGAGTGATTGTCCAGCTGAAAGGCTCACACATTAGCGTTTACTACTGTTTTAATTTGTAGTATGTTTAGAAAATGTTGTCCTCATCAAAATGCAGTTTCTCATTATTGTTTCCATGAATTATTGTTTCCATGAATTAGGTTCAGAAAGTGTGTGTGTGTGTGTGTGTGTGTGTGTGTGTGTGTGTGTGTGTGTGTGTGTGTGTGTATAACAATATATATATATATATATAAAAATAATAATAATAATAATAATTAAAAATAAATTAAAAATAAAATAAAAGATAAAATATAAAGTATATAATATATATATATATTTATATATACTTTATCTTTTATTTTATTTTTAATTCTATTCTGAAGGTTAGGGATTTTAATTTTAGTCTAATGTATGTTTAATGTATGTTTTGTATTTTGTATGCTACTGGATACTTGAGTTTCCCTCGGGATAAATAATCATATCTATCTATCTATCTATCTATCTATCTATCTATCTATCTATCTATCTATCTATCTATCTATCTATCTATCTATCTATCTAAATCTTTAACAGAACTGAAAATAGATTCAGACTAAGCTGCCAGCTTCGAAGCACTGTTAACATGTAGAAAAAGATTTTATTACAACCATGAACACATCTGTTATGTGCTGTGAGCCTCATTTGTGGAGAAATAAAGTTCTCAGACTTCTGTGTGACTGTACATACGGCCATGTGAATGGGTTTCACCCTCAGGCCGAACACCATTAATGTAAACAGCCTCTTCAGGAGCAGATTTCCTTTGCAATAACGTAAACTGCCTGTAATGATAGGAAGGAAGAACAGAAGCAAATAGTGTAAGCAACATAAGAATCAAACCATCAAAAAACTGATTACATCATTTAAAAAGGAGTAGGTTCTCTCTCTCTCTGTCTCCAGACTCTCCTTGGCCCGTTCCCAGCGATGCCCTTGACCTCCAGAGATATATTTGTTATCAGACACCCTCCAGGTCCATCTAATGCACAAATCCTCCCCTGCTGGACAACCACGTTGTTTCAGGGGGAGACCCTTTGTGTTGAACATTGCACAGATATCATAAAGTACTGCCTTCCTTTCTGCTACAGGGCCTGAGGGAAACATCCACACAGTCAGCCCACAGACTGCAGAACCATATAAAGCTGAACTAATTCATATCTTCTATTACTATGGATAAAACGACAACACGTAATGCAAAAATCCATTTTTAGCTCTTTGTTCTGGTTTTCAGACACATTTACTGTTCGGTCTCAGAACGCTTATTGTTTTTGATCTGCAAAACCCACTCTAAAACGCTAAGATAATCGCTCTTCGCTCACCATGAGGTAGGGCACATAACATACTGCAGACTTGTAGAGACAAGTCAATGGAAATAAACAGGGCAGTCCAAACATTTACTACTGCTTTGGGTCTGTATTTCAGAGAAACCGAAACAATATTTATGAAGTCAACATGTTTGAGGGAGTTTCCACCCATATAGAACATACAATGTAAACAGTGGGTGTAAAGTCTAGTACCAGTGAAAAGTGCAGAAGGGTAATGACATTATATACAGTCACTCAATATGGATGTTAACATCTTATTAAAATGCATTATTATTATTATTAAAATACAGCTCAATGTCAGCACTCAAAGTTTGGACTGCAGAGTACAGAGCCACAAAAAATGTCTTTCTATATTTGCTGAATCTTTATTTTTTAGAAGGATGAGCAGAAAAGTAACAATAAAAATAATTATGGCTTTAGTAATAGATTGTATTTCTGTGTTCATTATCAATTAATCAGTGGGAAAAACATTTACTGAATTATTTAGTGGTTTTGGTCTAAAAATTGTTAATCGAAACGTACCCAAGTCCCAAAGTTATGTCTTCAAATGTCTTATTTTGTCCAAACAAAAGTCAAATACCCAAATACATTCAAATTATGATGACACGAAAAAAGAGAACAGAGGAAAGTCCTCACATTCAGGAAGCTGGAGACAGAGAATTTTTGCTTGATGAACAACTTAAACCATAAAAGTCAGTTAAATTTGTCAGTCGACTAATCAATTAACTAACTGTTTCAGTACTTTACATTCATTTAGTTGTGTTGTAAAACAAGAAGACAATGACTGGAGGTCGCAGTAAAAGAACATTAACTCCCCAAAAACAAAGAAAGAAATATGTCGAGAAAAGGAAGAATTGAAGGAGGGGGCAAGGGCATGCAGAAACTCCCCTGTGGCCAGTCTGCACGCGTATGCACGTATGCACGTACGTGTGTGTGTGTGTGTGTACAGGCAGGTGTGTGTACGTGCACTGCTCCGACCATGCGATGCACAGATAAAGGAGAGCGCGATTCAGCACTACCAGAGCTGTTGATGAATGATCCGACTTTTGTTTTAGTGACAGGGAAGAATTTGGAGGGTCGCGCGACTGCTCAGAATAATGCTGCCCTTGTCTATTTGTCTGCAACCCAAGCATTAGTAAGCTCATATTGGGAAACAGTTACCCTTGAAACAGAGCACAGCAAAAACAGTCATCTGGCTAATTCCAACAGTAAGGACTGCTGCTCTTCTTTAGGCACTTAAAGGAAACCAAAGCAGTGTCATTACGCATCACGACCCCATCAAATCCAACTTAAAGGGAGCCGACTATAATGAACAAAATCCTTGTTTAGGGTAGAAAATAACACTAAGAAGCAACCCAGAGAGTATTTGTGTAGAATACGGGTGTGAACAGCAGCAGAAGAGGATCATAACACACGACTGGAGGTGACTGGTAGATGACTAATGTGATAAGTAATGAGTAAATGAATGAATTGGGGTATAAAAGCCGATGAATGGGGGAGAGAATGCGGGAAAAGGAGGAGAGAAGTGAAGAAGAGGGAGCGCTGCTTCACTTTATTGCCCAGTCTCTTACATCCTGTACTGATCGATACTGAAGCACTAAAGGAGATGAGCGCCTGGACCGAACGTGTGTGTGTGTGCGTGTGTGTGTGTGTGCAGATGTATACTTTCAAAAATAGTATACTTATTTGGGGGTGGAGGGTCCTGCAGTGTTGGTTGCTTTAATATTCATGTCAGAATTAAGAGTGAAAAAGATAGATGCAAGTAGAAGCTAAATAAATTAGCATGAGAATAGGATGAATTCAACCAGACAGTCATATGTAAGACGTGACAAAATATATCTTATTAAATAGAAAAGAGAGAAAACAGAAAGAAAGAACAGCAACATAGCAAACACGTGGATAAAGGAAATTAAAGGGACAGAGGAGAGAAAAATAAGGGGCTATGAGAGAGATGAAGGGAGGGTTGGGCTGTAATTTATCCCCCCGTGTGCATGCTTTACGGCTTTCTTAATTCAACTCCTGCTACTATTAATGGAGTTAATGTTGAGATTATATCTATTTTCTGGTGGCGGGGGTTGAATTACTGCAGCCGATATCCCCCGCCCCTTCAAACTGCCGCCCAGCAGTAAATCACCCGCCACGCTCGTTACGGCTGAAAACAGGTAAGAGCACGACATGCTGGGTAGGGGTAGGGAGGACCTCTCTTCCTGTGGGCCTGGGAGAAGGAAAGGTCTGAGACTAGCCAGTTGAGAGGGTTTAGGCAGTGAAGTTTGTGAGTGTGGTGTGAAAATGCACATTGTGTTTTCCTCGTTAACGTTTTAATTAATTTGTTTTTAGATGTTGCTCTG